CTTCTTCTTCTCCTGCAGATAATCCTGCTGCAAGCTGGATCTACGCCAAGTCCACCCGGAAGAAGAGGTGTCCGTACAGCAAGTACCAGACCCTGGAGCTGGAGAAGGAGTTCCTGTACAACATGTACCTGACCCGGGACCGGCGGCTGGAGGTGGCCGCGCTGCTGAACCTGACCGAGAGGCAGGTGAAGATCTGGTTCCAGAACAGGAGGATGAAGATGAAGAAGCTGATGATCCGGGAGAGGAGGGGTCCGAACGAGTGATCCCGTTTTTGGGATGTTTTTTGTCCAGGATAGATGATGATGACGAAAAGAGACGCAGAAACTCCAAGATGACGATCTGTAGCGGGAGCTATAAAACTAACATGGCCGAGGTGGAAAAGACTGCAGAGGGGAGACCAGGATGTGTTGTAACACTTTTGTTTAAAAAAATATTCCTTTCGCAACGTCTTTTGGTCTTTTCTTGTTGGAATTGAAGAACTTAAAGTCTTCCATCTGCATGTGACAGCTTACCTTTAACCCGGGGTACTTGTAAATAACGCTACCATTTACAAAAACATCCATAAATCTGAACTTAAAAACAACACATTCGATGATATCAATGACTTCGCTCTTTTGGAGAACACATCTGTTTTTGATAAAGCTGTATATCTCACATTTCCAGAACTGAAACTACTTGACTTCACATAAATTGTCTGTGCTTTCGGCCAAAAATGCAAATTGCATTTTTTATGATTTCATGCTTAAACTATTGTCCTCATATAAAACTGCTTCCATTGTGCCAGACGGGGCTGCACCGCGTCTGTTAAGGACACAAATAGAGTCTTTATGTGGCATTAGGGGGGGGGGCGTACTTTTGGGAAAGAAACCCTTAACAAATAGAAGCCTAACACTTATTAATAATATGTAATAATAGATACTTAATTATAATAATATTAGCCAAAAAAAATACAGAGGGTGAGATATATTCAGAGTATAAGAGGTTTGTTTATGTGGTTAATAATGCAAACAAAACTATGAGAATGAATGCATTTAATTGATCCATTTGTTGGATTTAGTTTTTACAATTTTCTTGGTTTAAAATACTATATTTAGTTTGCATGATCCAGTTTGATTTAACACTCAAAGCACACATGCACTGTGTCCAGACGTGCTGTTGTTATTCAGTCTCATTGCTGATAGAGATATAATCCTTAACTAAAAACCACATGTTCCTATATGTGAAATCATTTAATGTGAAATCAACAAATCAAATGTGTGTCAGAAGAAAAGTGAAAAAACTAAAGTGGAGTGGTGAAAAGTGAATGTTCTTTTTTGAGGTACACGAAGTACTCAAATCCTTTACTTAAGTACAAGTACAAATACTACACCGCTGCTTAAGTAGAAAAAATAAAAACACTAAAACAAATAAATGAATGCAGATTTAAATGTCCTTTCTAGATATCTGAGTTTGCACTCCTGATGCTCGATTGGTTTTAGATCCTATAACGCATTTAAATGACCTCTGAACACCTTTGAGGGCATTCACCTGCTAAATATTAGGAGTGTAAATCATGAGGTTCGTTACAAACGATCTGCTTTTTTCTATCCAAACCTTTAAAGATGTTATTGCATACAGCTCGTACAGGCTGTTTGCAATCTTTGGTTGTACTTTCATACCCGAGAAAAGTCATAAATACAATATAATTTGCATAAAACCCACAAAATCTATTGTGTGTAACCCGTGGAGTTAATGGAGTTACGTGAAACCAAAAGCCAATGTTGACTTATTTTAACAAAGATATGTAACAAATGATTTATTTTAACTCAAACCTCAATCCTTTTCTTAAAGAGGTTTCCTGCAATAGTGCATTGAGGCTTTGTGTTGCTGGATATTTAAAGGGAAATGCATGAAAAACATCTGAATAACTTTCCATAAGCTTCCGTTTATCATACTTTTTATACTTGAAAACAAAAGTATATCGTTTGCATCATTTTAATTATACAAAACAAACAGGCTAACTATGTAATGGTCTACTGATTTAAAAAAAACTTCAATGCTTATGTAATACACATCTCAGGTGTGTCCAATGGGTTTTTTAATGATCATTTCTCTGTGTTACAACCGTCCCCCGCCCCCCCTGATTTTAACATTTTGTTCCTTAAAAAAAGTTTAAATTTTTTTTCTTCTTTTATAAACTGTGCATGTATAGAAATATTTGTTGTTATCGTTGTCGTAGCTGTATTGTATATCTGTTGTTAATGTGAATACAATGCCAATCATGCTCCCTCTCTCAGACACACACACACACACACACACACACACACACACACACACACACACACACACACGCACACACACACAAACACAAACACACACGCGCACACACACACACACACACACACACACACACACACACACACACACACGCACATGCACGTAAAGACAGAAAGGGAGAA